GCACCCCTCTATGGCCTCTGCGTCAGCTCCTGTCTCCAGGTTCCTGCCCTGTGTGAGCTCCTGTCCTGACTTCCAGTGACTTCCTTCAGTGATGAACAGTGATGTGGAATCATAAACCAAACAAACCCTTTCTTCCCCCACACTGCTTTGGTCATGGTGTTTCATCACAATAGTAAATACGACACATTAGATTAAACTCTGGCTTCTTTATGTCTACACACTCAGGCAACACACACACACACAGAATATGAGGAGTAGAAAACACAAAGTTGTTTTTCAGAGTTGTTTCCAGCAATAAGTGATTCATAAATAGAAACAGAGAACATTTAAAACTGAAGTGGAATCAATCAGAAATAGTCAAGCAAAATCTTTAAGATGTTAAAAATGCTATCTGAGCCCAATATAGAACACACACTTTTAATGAGGGTTCATATACCTTTTCAAAAATTATACAATCAGTATTAAAGAAAAATTAAAATATGGGGGAACTTACAGTTGAAAATAATTTTCCAAATGTTTGTGGTGGGCATGGTAGGGTAGGTCTGTAATCCCAAACGCAGAAGGGGAAATGAGTATCAGCAGGTCTAGGTCATCCTTGACTGCACAGAAGGTTCTTGGCTAGCCTGGTGTATGTTAGACTTTGCCAATTACTAACAAACTACCTAAATAAACAAATAATCAACCTTTTTCATGTTTAATTTGGGAGTTAAGACTTTTTCAGGTAATTGAAAGTGTCCTTGTCACTTAAGATATACATAATAGTAACCCAGACTCAGAAAAGCAAGCACTGTATGTACTCATAAGTGGACATTAGATGTAAATCAAAGGATAACCAGCCTACAATCCACAGATCCAGAGACGCTAGGTAACAAGGGGAACCCTAAAAGGGACACATGGATCACTCTGAGAAGGGAAATTAAATGAGATCTAATGGGTAAACAGGGGGTGGGGTGTGATAAGGGGGAAAAGAGGAGGGGTGAGAACATGAGGGACAGGATGGTCGAGGAGGTGGAGGCATGCAGTGCAAGAGAGATGAAAGAGACATCTTAATAGACAGCGCCATTATGGAGTTAGGGAATTCCCAATAGTTCACACGGATTCCAGCTAAGACTCTTAGCAATAGTGGAGAGGATGCCTTTCTCTGTAATCAGATTGGTGGATACCACAACTATCATTACAGATTCATTCAGTAACTGATGGAAAAAGATGCAGAGATCCACAACCAAGCACCTGGACAAACTCAGGGTCCAGTCCAAGAGAGGGAGGAGGGAATACATGAGCAGGGGAGGCCAAAATCATGAAGAAATCTTTAGAGACAGCTGAACCAAGCTCATGGAAACTCATGAACTCTGGACCTACAACTGTGGGACACAGTCATGAAGCATGGACTATCTGAGGGGCCCCTGTCAGTAGGAACAGGATATAATCCCGGTACACGAGCTAGCTTGTTGGAGTCCATTCCCTATGGTGGGATGCCATGTTCAGCCTCAAGGCATGGGAGAGGGTCTTGGTCCTGCCCTAACCTATTGTGCCAGACTTAGGTGATTCCTTATGGGAGCCCTTACCATGAGGAGGAGAGGACTGAGGTTGGGCTGGGGGGAGACAAGGAGGGTTGCGGGAGAGGTGGAAGGGAGAACTGTGATTGGAATGTGAAATGAAACTTTAAAGAATAAATTATAAGAATATATACATACTATTTCATAAATTATATTATTTATTTCACAAGTAGCAGAGGGCTTATGACATTTGGGGGACAGTATCTAGGCAGGAGGAAGCTTTTGTCTGACGATCAAGATTTCAATAAACCAATAAAGCTCAATGTAGAGCTGCAGAAAAAAAATCCAGACCCTTAAAACATTTTAAATTGATCAGTATTCTCAAATATGGCAGGGGTTTCCTCCGGGTGTAGACTCTAGTTGCAGTTTCTATAAGGGTAATATACCTCTGGCTCTAATTTCTTTACCGTCAGTTGAAAACTTGCAGATGCTCACACCACAATCTGACCTGAGCATGAATGAAGCTACACAGTTGCTTTCCTCACAGTCAGCTAGGATCTGCTCTAATGCCTTTATTCACCCCTCTAAATACAGGCTTTGCATTTGGGCTTATAATAAGTTTTTGTTCTACATAATATTAAACGGGTTGGAAAGAAGCAGAACTGACAACTGTGAGGCATATCAACTTCATTTAGCAGGCTCCCCACTAGCTATCTGTAAGTGGAAATAGGTAAGGGAAGTCTGTATTGCAAGTGGGTTCTCCTTACTCTCAGTGCCCTCACACAGTTTCCCAGTGATCTTCACCATCCTCAACACTTAGGGAAAGACCATTTGCCTTGGATCACATGCCTGATAATCAACAGTCACTTTCACAGAATGTTTGAAACTTCTGACGACGTGTTACTATTTTTATAAAGGTTTTTTTTTTAAATCTTGGCAAGGGATGTTGATCCATGATGGACTGCTTGTTTAGGCTACCATGAGTTCAATCCTCAGCAAACCCTCCTGCCTCTCCACAGCAATCTGTATGTATTTAAATGTTTTCTTCAGCTCATACTTTTCTCTTCTTAGTCTATCACTATTTAATATCAGTTATCACTGTTGTGCCAGGTTTGTGGAATCCCAGAGACTAACCCAAGGAGTCAGAACTTCCAATGCAAAAGCAAAAGGTTCCTTTTAATCAAGCCAGCCAGCTCGGATCTCTTTCCATGGTGGAGGAAATGAGATGCCCATGAGCCAAAAGGAGAAGCTTTTAAAGAGAAAAAGAGGAGGAGTCCCAAGACTGCAAGTCTCAGTGGGGTTCCCAGTCTTCTCCTGGTAAGGGAGTAGCTGCAGATGTTGCTGCAGCTGCTCATGGGTCTGAGCTTCTGATCAGGCAATCCATGGTCAGGGGGATTTACAACTGGCAGGTCAGGTGCTATCCAGTTCTCAATTTTCTTAAGACAGTGGGGGTAGGGATGAGCTTAAGTCCCCTTCTTGTGGGAACTGCTTGTGGCTTCCTGTCACCTCTCTTAGTTGGGGACTTTTATTTTCCTCACTACATATTAATCACCACATACTGAAGTATTTCTTAGAGCAATAATTTTTAAACTTTTCTGTGCCTTGGTCTTTTCTTTCTCAGGTCGTAGATACCATTCCTGTGATGGAAATGTCTAAGCGTTTATTATTGTCTCCCCCAGTGACCCCACTGATACAATATACAGTGAACACACCTCTAAATTCTTTCTAAAGTCCCTGCAAAGCATAGGATGTTTATTCTGATAAACATCACTGGACTTCCCACTTTCGAGCTTCTCCCGAATACCACCCATCTCAGTTTTGTGTTTGTTTGTTTGATGTCAGCCTGTGGTAGCCAATAGAGCTGAGCCAAGGTTTCATCGTCATGCTGATGTAGGATCCACAACTACTCTATGACCTCACTTCCAGATCTGTTTTGAAGGCAGGTGACTTGAATGTGATGTTACTCTGTGTGGCATGTGTGCTGGTCACTCACTTATTAGGCTGTCAGTGCTTGAGGGACTACCCTTTTCCAGAGTCACGTGGGCTGTTAGTTTAAGATGGCCTTACTTTTAAGCTCATTATCATCAACAGACAGGAGAAAACATGCAATCTAACTGTGGGTAAATTCTAGAAGTGCCTGATAAGTATAGAAACTTAAAGGTCAAGCTCCAAAGGACTTATCAACAAATAACATGTATCTACAAGTTTGGGTACTTGTACTTTTAAGGAGATTAATTAAAAACTACACCAATGCTTTTTAACTGAGGAGCAAAATGGGTTAGATTTTGATTTGTATATAAATATTTCAACAGCTACAAGCTGTGCTTTTTATGTATTGGTTTGTTTGTTTTTGAAACCAAATCTCATTCTTTAACTGGGCTGGCCTGGAACTTCTATTGAGCTCAGGCTAGCCTCAAACTCACATCACTCTCTCTGCCTTGGCTTCCTGGTTAGATAGTATATCATCATATGTGCTTTGAAATATGAAAACAAGTTTCTGAATACTAAATACTTACTAAAATTAAGAATTTGCTATTAGCAATGATTGGTGATATTGTAGAAGGCAGTTATTTCTCTTAAGTACATCTGTATTATGCCACATTTGGTGCCTCATAACGATGTAATCTACATGTACTTTTTAAAACCAAGTAGTCGTTCTCCAGCAATTCTTTTCCCTTAACCTTTGTAGAGAGCTGTGCTAAAATCTTGGAAAGGAGAGAATCCTTCAGGGTTCTCCCTAGTAAAACTGAAGATCAGGTAATGCTGATTCCCAGCATCTTAGAGGATAGCAAGTAGAGACAAAGAATAGTCTACATATCCACATCCACACATCCACACATAACCGTTCAGACCAGTGGTTCTCAACCTTCCTAATGATGTAACTCTAATACAGGTCCTCATGTTATGGTGACCACCAACCACAAAATTATTTTCATTGCTACTTCATAAACTAATATTGCTATCGTTATGAAGGGTAATGTAAATACGCAAAATATCCGATATGCAACCCCTGGGAAAGGGTCGTGCTAACCCAAGGGGATTGTGACCCACAGGTTGTGAACCTCTGGTTTAGGCTATCACAAGGCCTGCAAAAAGCGAAGAGCCAAATGACAGCCCTTCTCAGCATCAGTCCCGCCCAACTTGGAAGACCGGAGGAGAAATTTAAAGCTTCAGCGCGCCACGTTGTCCTGTATTGAATAATCAGAGAGACGGGAAGCCGCTGCCAATGTGGCTCTACTTCAAACACTTGTAGTGGCACAAGACAGACACCGGCCGACCTTTAAACAGCCACACGGTGCTCTCGCCCAGGCCCCGCCCCCAACTACGGGCCCGCCCTAGGGCGGGGCCTGCTCCGATATTCCCCGCCCCCTTCGCGGGGCTCCACGTAACCCGGATATACACCGTCGCTCCCCTTTCACCTCGCGGCCGTTGGCCTACTCGGGAGACCGGCCGTCCGGCTGCTACTTGGCAGGCGCGCTGGGCGTGGGGCGCGGGGCGCGGGGCGCGGGGCGGCTTTCCCCGGGCGGTGATGGCGCGCGCGGGCGCCGGGAGGCAGGCGCCGTTGTAGCGGACTCAGCGGCGGGCTAGAGGCGGCCCAAGCGCCGGTCGCGCGCCATGGCCCCCATGGGCATCCGCCTGTCCCCGCTGGGGGTGGCCGTGTTCTTCCTGCTGGGGCTCGGGGTGCTCTACCACCTCTACTCGGGCTTCTTGGCCGGCCGCTTCAGCCTCTTCGGCCTGGGCGGCGAGCCGGCGGGCGGGGCGGCCGAGCCGGAAGGCGACGGGGGCGCGGTGGACCTGCGGGAGATGCTGGCCGTGGCGGTGCTGGCGGCCGAGCGCGGCGGCGAGGAGGTGAGGCGGGTCCGCGAGAGCAATGTCCTCCATGAGAAGTCCAAGGGGAAGACGCGCGAGGGGGCCGACGACAAGATGACCAGCGGCGACGTGCTGTCCAACCGCAAGATGTTTTACCTGCTCAAGACCACCTTCCCCACCGTGCAGGTGGGTGCTGGGCCCGACCCTCCTCGCGCGCGGCCCGGGACTTTCGCTGGGACCCGCGGAGGGGTGACTTGGAGAGCCGGAGGAAACGTGTGCAAGGTCACGCACGCTGGAGCTGGGGGAGCTCGCCGCTCTCCCATTCAGAGCCACGCTCCTCCTCCCTCCCGGTGTGGGTGTGGGCGGACGGGTGTGTCCGCACTGGGGAGAGCTGCGGGGGCTTTGGTGCCTGGATGCTGGCGATGTGAACCACACGTCGTCTGTACGGGCTGCTTCCTAAGTGAAGGGGTTCAAACCCTTGGACCTTTGTGTTCTCCTGGGGTTTTGTGCCTGGAAGGAGGCCATGGCTGTGGAGTCTGACAGACAACTAGGCCAAGGCTAGTAGAAATCTTCAGCGTGCAGAGAGAGCATCCGGAGGAAGGGGGTGTGCTCATGAATTGCTGAAGCTGTAGTAGCAAGACCCCGTGTGTAAATAGTCTGTAGTTTGAGCTGCCTTTCAAGAAAACAGTTGGAGATATGCTTTCTTGTAGTTTCTTTTAGGTGTTTCCTAGCACTCAAGATACTTAGGTCAGAGTTAAGTAACATCTACCTTTTCTGGTAGGGTTCTTGGATCGGCGTTGACACTTTCTTGGAATTAATTTTCTCTTGGAATTAATCATTTCAGTGCGACTGCTTTTTCTTTTTTGTGCGTGTCTATGCGTGTGCGCCTGCACATGCTTTCTTGAACTCAGGCAGGGCTGGAACTAAGCTTAGACTTGAATTCAGGATCCCCTTGCCTCAGCATCTTGAATGCTGGGATTACAGTTATCTATACAAACCTCTGACATTTCAGTGGGCCTTTTCCAGTTTATTGTAGTTATGTTGGAAGGGCACAACATAGTGTCACAGACACTTCTAAATGTATCGTCTAACAATAAATAGGTCTTGGCTTCCAATAGTTTTATTGATTAGATTAAACAGTAAACATTAAACTCAGGTTTCTCTGAGAGTTTCTTGACTTAACAGAATTAGAGTTACCGTCATTGAAGACTCTCATATCTTATGTAATGCTCTCCCCTTCTTGCATTACTGTTTTGGGTTTTTTTTTTCATTCCTGTGTTTGTGTCATTGTCTCCAATTTTTTCCTCCACGAAGTATTGGCTGTCAACTATTAAACTGCTGGATATCAGCTGGCATTGACATTAGTAGATTTTTTTTTTCAAATGCCTTCCCAAACAAAACACTGAATATTTCCACTTTTTGTTAACCATTATCCTTTTATTTAGTACCATGACAACACCATTGTTTGCAGCTAGATGTGAGATATATTTATGAGATACCTTTGTCTTCTCAAAACATATGAATTTCTGTAAGAGTTAGTTTGTGGAAGAAATGGGAGTTTGGGGGATATTGATATATGATAGTTATCTAGTACTGCAATGAATATATGTTATGTATTCTAACTAATGGCTTAGATAGTGATTACATAGGACTTTAATTGAACTTTGTAGCAATTTTTAAAATTATATTTCATTGTGTCTATTTTGCACATGGGTAGTCAGGTTCACAATATTCCACAGCTTATATGAGCTCCTATTGGAGGAAAAAGCATGCAGTTAAATGCATAGAGATTTTTTATTATTTATAAATGCCCTGTCCTTAGCTTGGCTTGTTTCTGGTCAACTTTTCTTAAATTATCCCATCTCCTTTTTGCCTCTGGGCTTTTGTATTCATCTATTCTATATACCTTTCTTTCCTTCTTAATCCCTGTGACTTACTGTGTGACTAGATGGCTAGTCCCTGGTCTCCTCTCTCCTCCATCCCCCTTCCCAGATTTCTCCTAATTATCCTCTCTGCATGCCAGCCCCACCTATTTTTCCTCCTGTCTAGCTATTGGCCATTCAGCTCTTTATTAGACCAATCAGGTGTTTTAGACAGGCAAGTAACACAGCTTCACAGAGTTAAACAAATGTAACAAAGAAGAATGCAGCAACATCTTTGCATTATCAAACAAGTGTTCCACAGTATAAGCAAATGTAACACATCTTTAACTAATATTCTACAACAGAAATATAGCAAGCACAACTACTTTATTAAATTAAGGTAAAGTCAGCTGCATTGTAAGTTTTTAAGTGTGTGTGTGTGTGTGTGTGTGTGTGTGTGTACGTACACATATGTTCTCAAGTTTTCTCATGTTAGAAAATGAAAAGAGCCTGGCAGTGGTGGAGCACGCCTTTAATCCCAGCACTCGGGAGGCAGAGGCAGGCGGATCTCTGTGAGTTCGAGGTTGGGCTGGACCGATAGCCTCCAAAACAATACAGAGAAACCCTGCCTCGTAAAAACCAAAAAAAAAAAAAAAAAAAGAAAAAGAAAAAGAAAATGAAAAGAGTAACAACTAAGGGTAGCATGTGGTGTCTTATTAAAACATCAGTAAGCTTTTGGATTTCAGTTGTGCTAACACAGTGCCTTAATATAAAGTAACTGTTTCTTGTGACTGAATCTCGGTCTGCAGGTATTGACATATAACAGAATAGTGTGTTCATTTATGTACATCATTGTACTTCGGATGTGTAATATTGAGCTATCTCCTTTACTCCAGTAAGTCAAATGGAGCGACTTAAGTGGATTGTGGTTGTGGGTGAGAGAAATAGTTAGGAATAATGAGTCTTCAGGGATGCATAAAAATGACTAAACCAGACCAGCAGCTGGTAGAGCATCCACAGCTATGGAAAAGCCTGTGTTCAATTCCCAGTCCTACAAGGGAAATGAAGGAAAGGCAATGTCTCTTCTATTAAAAGAAGCACTTGATGATTTTTTAAGTATTGGTTTATACACAGGAGCGTAAGTGCCCTCAGAGACCAGAGGCGTTGGGTTCCCCTGGAGCTGGATTTACAAGCATTTATGAACTGAGCTGCTGGATTTGGGTGTTGGAAATTGACCTTTTCAATTTTTAGTTAATTAGTTAATCTATTTTCTTTTTGAAGTGCTGGGAATTGAACTTACAGTCTTACACACTTAGATAGTTGCTCAAATACTCAGCTCTGTTTCCATCCATGAACAAAGTCTTATTGGCAGTTCTTTATGGAGCTGATGAGTTTCCTTTGTGTGAATGTCTGGTAGCATGATGCAGAAGAAGCAAAGGTGATAAACAGGTCAGGAAGTGGAGGTGGTGAACAATGGTAAGTCTTAAGAAGGTGGGCCCCAAAAGATGCACATTTATACAAGGACTTCTGTTCCACTATGTTCATAGCAGCATTATTTGTAATAGCTAGAACCTGGAAGCAACCTAGATGCCCCTCAACTGAAGAGTAGAATGAGAAAATGTGGTACATTTGCACAGTGGAGTATTACTCAGTAGAAAAAAACAATGGAATCCTGAAATTTGCAGGCAAATGGATGGCACTAGAAGAAACCATCCTGAGTGAGGTAACCCAGTCACAAAAAGACAATCATGTCATGTACTCTCTCATATATGGATTTTAGACATAGATCTGAGGAGTACCAGCCCACAATCCCATGGCCAGAGAGTCTGGGAAACAACCTTCATCCAATGCCTGATGGAAGCAGAGGCAGATACCCACAGCTAAACACTAGGAACCCAGTGACAGAGAAAGAGGACTGATGAGCAAAGGGGTTAAGACTGGGCTGGTTTAACCCCAGAAACAGCTGACCTGAACAAGGGGTAGCTCTTGAATGCCAGACTGATAGCTGGGAATCCAGCATGAGACTGACCAAGACCCCTTGAATGTGGGTGTCAGTAAGGAGGCTTAGGCAGTCTATGGGGCCTTAGGTAGTAGATCAATATTTATCCCTGGCATACAAATGGACTTTGGGTGCCCATCCCACAATGAGAGATGCAGTCTCCTCCTGGACTCTTGCGGGAGGGCCTAGGCCCTGCTCTGGAGAAGTGACAGACTATGGACACCCCCATGGAGGGACTCACCCTTCCTACGGAAAGGATGGGATATTTGGGATGGGGGGCATTTGGTGTTGGTGGGAGGGTGTGGGAAGAGAGGAGGGAAAGGGAGAGGGACCTGGGATTGACATGTGAAGCAACCTTGTTTTTAATTTAAATTTAAATTTAAAAATAAAAAAAAAAAAGAAATTGGGCCTCTGAGGAGTAACTAAGAGTCTAGTCTTGTTTTGTTTGGGGTTTTGTAGTATTTGTTTTTAAGATCTTAAACAGTAGAAGGTATCTAACTGTTACATGGTTGTATTTGAGAGGCAGGTGGTTGGAAAAGGTCTTTTAAAAATGAAAGTAGAATAGAACAGGTATGGGGCTGTTTATTTATACATTTGAAAGTGGCCATTCTCCAGCAAAATAGCTGATGGCTATTAGTAGGAGAACCTGGCTCTTAGGAGGCTGAGAAGTCATAGTCTTCAGCCTGTACACAGAAGGCCCAGGAAAGTTAGTGGTGTGTTGCAGCTGAAACCCAAGGCATAAGAACCATGGACTCAGTAGGCAATAGTGTAAGTCCTTGTCAGAGGACAGAAAAGATCCTGTCTCAGCTCCAGCAGTCATGCTGAAAGTGCACATTCCCCTTTCCTTTACCTTTGATTCTTCAGGTTTTCACAGGGTTGAGTACGGTCCATTAATATAAGGCTGAAGAGTCACTTTACTGCACCTGCTCTTTTCAGTGCTTGTTTTATCACCAAACACTCAAGCCACAGCCGGAAATAATGTGTAGTCAAAAATCTGGGTACCCTATCTATCATTATATACAAAATTATGTGTGAGATGTCGTATCTAAAACCATATTTATATAATTGTTTATTTTTAAACATACTAGATGGTTGATTTTTCTAAAAGCCCAAAGCCCCAAATTAACTGAATTATCATAACAGCATTAATTGTATTTGGGGCCTTGAGCTTTCATAGTACTGATGAAGAATGGTTGTTTCACCTTACGGAGTCAAAGAAGACTAGTCTTAATACCTCTATATATGTGTAGATATGCTATATACACATGCAGTTTACTGACTTAACCTTTATATTTAATAAATGAGTGCTGATCCCTGATGCCGTT